GTATTTCCAGTGCTTGAAATCATACTCAAGTCTGCTCAAATCCTAACTTGAGCATTGAGTAGAGTTCTGAATACGACGAAGAATACGACCCTAAGAGTCGTATTCCAGAACTCTACTCAATGCTCAAGTCAGGATTTGAGTGGTTTAAAGCACTCGAAATCATACTCAACTCCCTGCCATTAGGGTCGTATTTCTAGTGCAATCCTGACTTGAGCATTGAGTCGAGTTCTAGAATACGACCCTTAGAACAAATTATCACGTTATATAGAGACCAGTATAATGCGGTATAACATACTCGTAACTATCTAGTTTTTCAGACCAATTTACTTCAACAACTTCACTATGAAATATGCTTTTTTATTTTCACCTATAGCAGTGTAATCACTTAAATACCCATAACTTCATTGAAATATAATGTACTTACCTTTAAGTTTCAAATAACACAAATAGTATTAAGATAAAGATAACGAGTATTTTTAATTTTACTTCACAACAACTATCACCTAGTAAACAAATATAACTCGGAACAAAATGTACACAGTTTGACATCGTATAATTTATTTGTCGGAGTAGCCAAATAAAAGATAAATAAAAAAGTGTAATAGGCAATTTATTCATGTAGTCTTGATCTAAATCAATTCAAGATGAATTGGAATAAGTTGAATTACTCAATTAAGTGACGTGATAATTAAGTCGGGCGCAGTTGCAGTGCCTCAGATCTTTGCAATTTAAAGCTCTGAGTGGCACTGCTGAGCTGCACTGTAGTTTACCAGGCGCACGACTTGTTCGTCCCGTCATTTGATATTATATCTAATTTTAAATATTATATATTTTTTAAAGTCCCGCTAGATTGCGAAATTCTTACATTGTGCGATGTACCGCTCTTTACGAGTGCCAATGTCTAACTGACTCGATTTGGGCTTCACTGAAAATATCGAAATTTGCACATTGCATTATGGAAAATTACGGCTGTGATAAAATGTATCAACCTTTGCAAAATAACCGTATTAGGTTGAGTTATAACAGCTTCCATTTTTGACGAAGCTTGTATCTCAATTAGGTGCTCAGAAAGCTAACCTTATTATCTTTACAGAATTTATAATCGAAATGACGCTCAGGTAAACATTTTATAGATTTTTTTACCACAGACCAAATAAATTCCTTTTTTCGTTTTCATTTTCTGTTGTAGATATATCAGACATCTCAATTAAGTCGGTTAAATTAGTTTGGCGTCTTTCATTTTTATGATTATAGCATTGATTGAAAATCTGTACACAACATGTTGATTTTTTATTCTATTTTGAAAACAAAAGATCTATATAACAATAGTAGATTGTACAACAAGTGCATAAAACGCGTCATTTTACCCGAGACGTGTATGTACTGGTACTTAAGTCGAGGGTAAAATGGGTTGTATGTACGAGTTATACACTCTGCTTTTCACTTCGATTGCGAGGAAATTGAATAAATGAATAACGCACACACTCAACATAGCCCCGCACTAGGGAAACCCTGTGTCGCGGGTGCCATGGACACACATATAGACAACCACAAATTACACCCAAACTCACGAGAGAAATAATTGTAGGCCATACAAATATTTCTCCCGGCCCGGGAATCGAACCTGGGACCTCTGCGTGGCAATCCGGCATGGTAACCGTCCGGCCACGGAGGCAGTTAGAAATAGAAATTAAACAGCAATATTACAAATAAACGATTATTTAATTAAAATTGAATGTAAAATTACAACAATTAGACAAATTTAATGTGGTTTTTTATTTTATGCACTAAAGCATAAAATCCTATTTTATGCAGCCTACATCCAGCATGAATACGAACTTTAAGAGCATGAGAAGTGAAAAGATATATTATAATAAGAGATATAAAAAATAAGGTTCATCCAGAATAATAAGGGGCATATTTTACGAAATGCGATTCTTGTTGTAACTTCTTCGAGACTATTTAATTGATGAGATGCTTGATTTAATGAGTCGTAAATCAATGTTACTGAGACGGCGGTGCGGTGAAAGTAAAGGAATTGATTTGTTTAGTATCTCCCTTTTATAACAATCGTCGTGCCAAAATAATGTCATTTTAATACGTGGAAGACGACGTTGATGGTATAAATTGAAAAATTTTACAATATCCTATACAGTTTTTACTCAATTCTAATATGCCTTTACCCACAATAGATTAATCCTTACTGTCATTATTACATCTTACACTTAATTTATTACTTTTAGATAGTACAAAAATCCGTTTATTGTTCCTAAGTTTATAATAATTTCGAACTACATTCAATTGGTAAAGACTACACAACTTCAGTTAACAATCTTGTCTCACACGATGGTTGGTACTAGTCAGATACACGTTTGTCAAGAGACATAGAATCATCATTAATAAGTTTAGAGCATCTCTTAAATTATCTAATAGCGCTTAGTGAAGTTTGTCATCTGTGATAGCAAGATAGGATTTAGAAGGGTGGATAAAAGCAAGTGTTTGGAATCTCGGAGTTATAAGTAGGTGGCAGTGGGACAAGTTTGTATACAGTAAACCTACTTAGTTGATGAAATAAGAAAAGTATCTGTATTAATAATTATAAACTAGTGGAGTAATTTCACAAAAAATAATTGAATATCAATTCAATAAAAATTTAATTAATACAGCGAATAGCGACATCTCTCGCCAGGATTGGTAGCTGTAAAGGTACTAACTGGGTGATAAATCTTTCATAGATTTCTCATAGATGGCGCTACGACTAAAAAGTCGTTGAAAAACCAAATACAAAAGACACGACGCAAGCACGTAGAAAAATTCGTGAGGTCCGTTGGTTCGTTCCGTGGCTTAGTTGGTATAGCGTCTGGCACGGTATGCAAGAAGATGTGGGTTCGAATCCGACCGGATCGAAGGATTTTTTCTGAGTGTTCGATCTTTGTATTAATAATTATAACAAACTAGTGGAGTAATTTCACAAAAAATAATTGAATAAATACAATTGCCTACATTTTATTTATTCTTTTTGTTTATTCATTCAGTATCATCATTTTTATTTATGATACCAAATGACGGGACGAACAAACAAAACTAAACCCGCTCACGTATGGGAGGCGAATGTGTAGGTTAGGGATCGTCTGTTTCTGCAGAAGAAAAGAAATATTTTTTTATTTGTGCCTTAAGGTTGTATTTGGATATTATAGAAAACAAATTGAGGTTTTTAAATTGTGCATTAAATAATGTAGTCATTCGAGTGAGTACCGCTTTTACCGTAATTCGTGAGCTGAAAGGGCGTGGGAAAAAGTGATATATGTTGCGTATGTTGTTCTGATACGTTAAAGAGAATTTCAACTAAGTAATTCTGTGTTGTCAAGCGGGTTGTGCATGATATCATGCAATAGACAAATAACTAACATTTGACGCCGCTCCCTTAGGGATAAAAGTTTATGAGATCGACAGCTATATAAATAGGATTCATTAAAGTTTACGCGTGAATTCTTTCAATGCGGTCAATGAAATACTTATAACAGGGAGACCAATATAAGCCTCATAAGGCTTGCGTGCTCTAGGATACGTACCTACGTAAGTGAAATAGACCACCGTAAAGGTTAAGGGGCATTTGAATGGCATACAAGTTCTTATTATAAAACCCAAGTTGCGGTAAGCCCTCTATACAATGTTTTCTACATTATCAGACCAAAGCATCTTCCCATCAAATAGTTTCGTTTTCGGGAGTTCTGTTCTTTCTCTGATTTGGGCGGTATGATTAATTAATATATTGTAAAATATACCATATTTTATATAGACACGTGCAAAAATTGAAACAGTAAAATTTGTAAAAATATTAGGTTTAAGATAATAGGTTAAACAAACACTCACAGTAACAGCACTTTCACTATCATTTCACACGTGGCTTAATCGGAGCTCCAGGTGCTCGGGACCCACGTGTTGTGGTGTAGCGCCATTGGCTTGTAGCTCGAATTGCGTGGAGATGAGGTCGAGTATGACTGGCTGGGCTGCTGCGGGCACACTGACGTTGAGACTAACCGTCGATCATGCGAGACTGGTCAGGCAGCGGAGTGGATGATGTGGGGTCACGCTGCAAGGTGGAGCCTTATCGTCAAGATTCGGGGCCGCAGGATTCGAATATTATCTGGGTTTTAACTCCACTTCGTATCCTACTTCTGACACCAATTTGCTCTTCTACTTCCTGATTCCCGGAGCGATATACCGCTCTTTACGAGTGCCAATGTAACGCAACAACAACAACAACACGCAAAATATCGAAATTTGCACATTGCATTATGGAAAAATACAACTGTGCATTATGGAAAAATACAACTGTAATAAAATGTATCAATTTTTGCAAAATAGCCGTAATAGGTTGGGTTATAACTTAAAACAGTACGATACACGCAAGTGTAAACCACCATTATCGGCGCGAATGCTCGGGTGGCGGTACATCAAAGCATTTAAGTGACCAGCGCGTTAGCGCGACAACTTTTTAGCAAGCAAAACATACGAATCTTCGGGCACGCATTACTTCGTGACGAAAGACGCAAGTGCGGCCCCAGCATAAGCGAATAACAGTTTTATTATTTAAATATGTCCAGAATCATGCTTGTTTCCTCTTTTTCCCAAACAGCGACCGCGCGGTTAATCCTTTGTATAAAATTTGAGCCGCTTAAGACATCACTAGTGATCTGATAATCAGATGCTTGTTTACTTATTTTTTAGTGCTTAGCACATGCCTTGACTAATTTACTGTATTCAATATTGTTTGGTGCAATGAGATTGCTAAATCTCAATAGCAGTATTGATATGTTATGTACGAGTAGATAGTAATTTATACATAGTCGATTACGTGTGGAGACACTTTTGAAATGTGATTTTTTATCGCAAAAATATTGAATGTAACTGTATTTAACAAGATTGATAACTGCATGATAACGTGAAAACTGTAAAGTATTATAATTTCAAATAAATTATTCACATAAAATTGGAATTAAAAAAAATCCTTATTGAAATGCATACATTTGCCTTTAATTACTTTGGAATATTATACAATTATATGTTGATCACCATTTCATAAACAGAAGCTTCCAAAACCAAGAGAATATCTATAACTATTAGACAGAAATAAATACATTCTCACAGCTAGCAGAGATATTACCATTTATGACATATAGCACCTTCTCTGATTTATAAATAATCGTTAATAAATTTCTAAATTTCCAAATTGACGCCAGAACACCATTAAATACAGGAATAAAACAATAACATTTATTATGACGGAGGTGTGGGCGATACATAAGGGTTTAGTAGATATTCAGAGAATGCATTGACAGCTGCGGCACCGCGAACTTCCTTATCTAGAAGAGGCAGTTTGGTTACATGGAAGTCTTCATACAAGTCGGCGATCTGTTCTAGATACTTCTCTTGTACCTTATGCCTAGCGGCACAGAGTTCACATGGTGCAGAGGAATGGAGCAGTAATTGGTTGACAATGATATTATGTGTGTCAATTCCACATCTGGTTAACTCTTGAACAAGACGCTCTGTCTCGTATAGTGACAGGAACTCGGCAATGCAAACACATACAAATGTCGTTTGATTGGGGTCCTTGAATTGTGCATTCACTTGTCGGATAACAGAAAGCATCTCATCCATTTTGTTACTGAACATGTCTGAGTTGAAATCGGCTAAACCAAAAAGACTTGCCACTTGGTTGATGAATGGAGCCACCTGGAAAAATATTAGATATAAGATGTTTAATAATCCCAGTACAGAGTACTAAAAAAAGTACGTGAATTACATATAATTACCAAGTTTTATTGAAATCGGTTACCGGAAAGTGCGCAAACCCGGATTCATTTCCTAGTTCGCCATTATACGGGACTTGACACAGGAGATAATAAAAATCGGTTCTCACTACTCAAGTATATTGAGAAAAACGCCTTGAATTGGAGAATAGCAAAATCAACCATTAAAATAATTGCTCCTTATAATAAAATTCAGGCACTGTTTACAAAAATGAAACTTCATGCATGAAAAGACACCCTTAGAGGTTAATGATTTTCTTCAAAATCAAATGGGACCACTAAGGAGGTACCTTCGTTCCAACAAAAAAAAAAGAATCATGAAATTCGGTTCACAAATACCGGAGTTATCGCGTAACATACATACAAAAAAAACATACAGTTGAATTGAGAACCTCCTCCTTTTTTTGAAGTCGGTTAAAAATAAGAAGAAATAAAAACGAAGAATGCGAAGAGATTAACCTGCATTGTAACATTACTTCCACTATTATGTTTTTCTTATTTATTTAAACAACTTCTTGTGTTAACTGCCTCCGTGGCCGAACGGTTACCATGCCGGACTACCACGCAGAGGTCCAAGGTTCGATTCACGAGCCGGGACAAATGTTTGTGTGGCTTACATTTATTTCTCTCGTGAGTTTGGGTGTAATTTGTGGTTGTCTATGTGTGTGTCCATGGCACCCGCGACACAGGGTTTCCCTAGTGCGGGGCTATGTTGAGTGTGTGCGTTATTTATTATATTATTTATTTATTATTTTATACCTTGGACTTCAAACGCATGAGTTTGCCAAGCCCCCTCTCGACGACTTGTGGAAAAGAGAGCAGACGCAGCGTATGTCCAGTTGGCGCCGTGTCGAACACAACCGCACTGAAGTTCATGCCTTTCACCAATTTCATTACCTGAAATAAAAAGTGAGGATTCATTGAGTTTTTAAAAATAAAATGTTTAAATAAATAAAATCTTTCATTACACATCAAAATTATTTATAACAGAATTTCAACACTTGAAATCTCAGCTCATAATATTGATGCTTAATTTTGAATTTTCGATGCTTAATTTGGCAACATCTCATGAATTTGGGTGGTAATATTATAAGTCTTATATTAGCATTTAGGTATGTTTAAACTTGGATGCAAAAAGAGTCATCTGAGTAAGCAATAATCTCTGTACAGAGTACTAAAAAAACTGACCTCAAAAGTTCATGGAATTACATCTATTTACCAAGTTTTATTGAAATCGGTTGCCACCCTTAGAGGTGCAATATTTTCTTCAAATTTAAATGGGGTCATATCTGTGGTACCCTCTTTTGAACAAAAAAAAGAATCATCAAAATCGGTTCACAAATGCGGAGTTATTTTGAAGTCAGTTAAAAATAGATTTTTACCTTATCAATATTTAAACTTTTCATCATTTCAATACCTCCAGTGAACACTCTGCCGCTGGGAGCATAATATTAGTAAATTAAATAATTAATTAAATAAGGCTGTCTACATTAAAAACAGAAAATGCAAAAGATTAAGTTGGTGTAGTGTTCATCGGAGGTATTGATTTATTGTAAAGGAGATTTATTCATATTACAATCCTGTTGGACTTATTAAAATTGTATTAAAAATAATAATAATAATGTCTAACCTCAGCGTAGCTCATAGCCTCATCAATACCAGGGAACGCGCCAACAATCTCCTGCATAACACCCTTACCCAGCCGCATTGCTTCTGTTTCTCCTTCAAAGTATTCCTCTGGAAGCTCTGTCAAACCCACATTTGGGTCTATCTCCATAGCAAATAAGTTTTCAAAGCCTTTGACTTTTGTCGGGACCTATGAAGTGTCATGTATTGAAAATAAATAATGAAAAGGAAGCTTATGTAGAATCATCATATTAGTTATATAATAGTTCATCATCTATACATTTTTAAAACCTTGCTTAAATATAGAAGCAGAATATAACCTATATACAACTAAACCTACCTAACCTAAATGCTAACAATTTGGGAATAGGGAATAGTTTTAAGGACAATTATTTACTTCATTATCACTTTGAAGTAAAATTTTATAAGAAATTTAAGAAAGCAGGTTAATTACTAAACACACCTATTAATAACAAGGCTACTTGGTGTTTAAAACTTCTTTAATGTTTTGTTTAGACCCCTGAACTATCACTAGTCTACTTCAATACTTGAACTGAATGTAAAGAATGTTTATATGATTTATTTCTTTCTAAATGCATGCAGATTTATAATTCCTTTTTTTGTATATTAATTTTGTAACTTAAATTGATAATTCTGGTACAAACTGACGAATTACATAAAATGAAATTATCCTCAGCTAATTTGTTGGCACCTAATATATTTCAAATGTATGTCAAATATTTTAAGGTCAAAAATGGATACATAACCCTAAAAATGCATTAATACAAACAAAATTATAGAGCTATGCCAAAATTGTAAAATTTGTTAAAAATGTTAACATCGCACTTGGTAAGCTTATTAAAAAAAAACATTTGGTGCACATAGTAATTTATAAAAATTTATAAATTAAATTAAACCATATTCATTGGTAACAATATTATGATGCAAATTTTCGTTATGTTGTTCTAAATTCGCTATAAGATCTGAATGCTCAATATTATTCAAATTAGAAGACTTGATTATGGTTATAAGAATTATTTAAACCGCTTCTGATCCCTCAATTAACAAGAATGTAGATTGTAAAGCATTAATGAACTAAACTTACCTTTGAAAACTTCTGATCAAATGCATCAGAAATGTTATGAGCTGGATCGGTAGAAATAATCAACACGGATTCGCGAACCTTCGACAGCTGTACGGCCAAACTGCAGCTATAATAGTTAATATTTTCAGTTAATTGGTGTACCGTACGTTCATAATAATTATATTATACACAAATTATGAACATTCTTACCTGCATGTTGTTTTACCTACACCTCCTTTTCCACCGACAAAAATCCATCGTAATGATTTCTGGTCTATAACATTCTTCAGAGAAGGTTCGAGAGGCTCAAATGGTTTATTTTCATCCATTTTTATGAAATTATTATAGTTTTTCACAAAATCGTCAACAAAACCGTGAATTTAGCAAAAATTAAATGAATGAAAGTTGACGTAGCACATCAATGTTGCCGCGGTTGAGGTATTCATTTTCTACTAGTTTTTTTTTACAACTTACAGCACAGCTCGGAAATGAAAATGAATTCTTTAAATAAGTTTTTGCAGCAGTTCACAATAAGCTTGGCGGACTAAAGAATTAAACGGTTTCGTTAGATTTTTGTCCTTTTAAATACGATATTTTTTGTATGTTTATCTCCACTATAAATAGAAAACAGTTTATTTATTTTCCTAAAAACTTACGCTCCATGTATATTGCGACGAAACAGAATGGAACGGAAGCGTCAATTTCGCCTCACTGCGCGAGAAGGCGCGCGCAGTCGCTGGAATGCAATGCTCCAGCATTCCAACGACTGCGCCTTGAGGCTTTAGTGTTCTGTCGACGTTTGACATCACACTTCGTCTATCTTCGCGCCAATTCCTGCGGAGTCGCCAGGCGTCGCCGATGGCAGTGACGGAATTCTCGCGAATGCGTGAGCATGCGCTCAATTCCGCGGAAGACGCGTGACGTGTTATTTGGCTCGTATCTAGTTTGTACGTTACACAATTGACCATAAAATTCATTACAATATGTACAATATCGTTACAAAAATTCACTTCCATTCTGTTCCGCCGCAATATTAATTAAATTAAGTTTTAAAATTAGAGTTACAATTTGGTCTTCTTAGTATGCATCATCTACCTTAATACTAATAATTATAACTGTAAACACGACTAGCTAACACAAGCAATTTTTTATTTTTTTCGTAAATATCAATTGAAAATAAATGTGAAAGACTATTGCTTCAGTTGACATGACGGGGCACATTATATTTTCTATATAATGTGTTCTATATAATCTATTTTCGATATAAGTAACATATTATAATAGTTGTACTTTATTATAAACTACAATTTTACTATTTCATTTGGCGTATGTTGGTTAACGTACATACATACTTACTTATTTAAAATCTATTTGCGGTCTGCTATCTAAAAAATATTATTATATACTTTAGATGTCAGCTTAACTTTGATAGAAGATTAATACTTAAATATATGGTAATTTCCATCCTCTAAGGGCAATTGACCGATTTTTAAGATTTTGCTGTTCGGGTTTTTTTTTGATCATCCGTAAATGTAATTGTTTGTGATTCTGATTCCTACCATTCATTCCTACTGTGTTACAAAGTGTATTAAAATAATGGTTACATTGTGTGATAAATGTCAAAAAAAATTTTAAATGTCGTGCGCGCGCGGACTGTCTTGCGTTTTTGCGTTGAGTCGATTTTTGTGATAAAAATAAATTTATCAATGAAATGCATAACTTTGTGAATGAAAATAATGCTCTATCGTCTACTTCGTTGCCGTTTGACGTTCAAGCTTTATATAATTTTGACCATTATAGTGATTGTTTCCTTAGTTGCATATTTCTTCCCCCAATATAAAATCTATTCAATCGCTCCTGTGACTGTGACTCCGAGTGTGCAGCCGAAAAATTCGCGGCATTTGTCCAAGTTGATGACTGTGGTGTTCCGTCAGTTTGAAAAGTTCGAAAATGACGTCGCTGACAGTGTACAGTCATTCGTATCTGCGTTTCCAAATATGCCCATGGTTGTGGTGTGTGAGACCACACCGTATCCACCTTTCCCCTTTTCAGCCACAAATGAAACACTGCGTAACGTGAAGGTTGTGTCACTGGAGATGAGATTAAATGCTTCACCACAGGATCTGAGGCCTTTAAGTTATATTAGCACGGAATTTGTCCTATTTGTACCTGATTCAACCCGCGCATTGCGGAGAACGTTGCAGCAGGCGGCTGTAGCGATTACCGCGTATCCTACTCATGCTATAGCATTAGGAGTGGGCAACGCTCGGCTTATCTGTCAACAAGTGAAGTGGAACTATGCTGACTGGACACTGCAGTACAGCAAAGATGCTTCAGGCAAGCTATGTGATGCCATACATGGCCAACATGCACTGTTGATCAGAACTTCTCTGTTACATACACTACCTCAACCATTTTTGCTGCCATTTCCTGAATCTCTTTATTTACAGACTACTGTTAAAAATGTTAAGGTATATGATAATATTATGTCATAAATAATTTCTAAAGAAATGCCTGATAATTTTTGCTAATTTTAAGAACTTTTTGTTATACCTAATTTTTACTAGTACAACCCTGTTAAACTTGATAAATCAAACAATGTTTAAGGTACAAATATTAGACAGCAAGTTGGGTGCTGGACGTAGTGTACTTAAGTCGCCTGCTGCCAAGCAAAGGGCACAACGTCGTATGAGGGACAATAGAGTATCACTGTACAAACAACTAGGAGTCAAAGCTGTAATAAGAGAGGATGGCAGGGTGCAGTGGTTTGGATGTAAGAGGGAGACTCAGGTGAATAAATAAGTCAATACTCAATACTCAATATATTTATTGCATTCGTATGGTATGCATATACATGTCTTAAATTTAAAATATTGCTACACATATGAGCCCTTTATTAGGGATAACAATAACAGCAAAGTTAGGCCGAGGTTTCAATTATTACTTAAAATTGGTATTTATCAAATAATAATATAAAATAAAAAAATATGTCATGTAATAAGAAAGAAATACGTCATATTATGAGTAGAATTATATCACTTGAAAGTTTGAATTTAATTATATTACAATAGCATAACTTTCTAGTATATAATTAACATTTATTCATTAGAATATTATTATTTTTATTTGTCATCAAAGTATTCATTTAAATTGTAATAGCATTTATTAATAAGATGTAATTTTAATTTATTTACTATTTCCTCGTTTTTAATAATGGGCGGGAGTTCGTAAAATATCCTCACCGTCATCAAGTAGGGCATTGAGCTGTGTATGAGTAGCCGAGATCGAGGCAGAAGCAATCTATTGCGTGGTCTAAAAGTGTGTCATTGAGGCAGGTTGTCAGTGTTAGTATAAAAGTCAGGGTGTTGTTTAATAAATTTACAAATTTCTAAAATATGTATAGAACACAAAGACAAAATTTTAATTTGTTTAAAGTGCGGTCTGCAGCTATCAGTACTACTCAAATTACCAAGAATATATAGATTGTAAATATTGCTTGTGCGTGCACACTATTTCCCCAAAGGATAATTCCGTAACTTAGGTGGGAATGAGTGTCAGCATAATAAGCGGCCATTGCAGTTATTAGGTCAGTCGTTTTCTTTATCTCCCTCAGTGCGTACGTGAAACTAACCAACTTTTTATAAATTTTTTGAGTCTAACTATAAGCTGTCATAATTTAATTTTTTGGACAATTGATTATGTAACATTGAATTTAATTTCAAAAGCTACATAATCAGGGTTCTAGATGTTTTAATTTGCCAGTATATGGGTGTTGCATTCTTTTGCTTACACAATTTCAAATTCATGTCCTTTAGAACTATCAGGACTTAACATCATAGTCTTAAACTTGAGAATCCTCTTTTTAAACGAACCTGTGGCTTTACCATGAACTCTTAACAGTTCAGTACAGGTGACAACAAAAAAGCGGGATGGTGATAACACTTCATGTAGCTCTGTCTGTAGAGTTCGTGGTCAGACCGCTGGTGGCATTATGTTTAGGTTTTGTTGTCTGCCCTTTAATTATGTCCTAGTTTCATATTGTGTAATAAATTGATGTCTATTTACAGAGGCTAATACTGACTATTTGTGTTCCAGCGATGTTTTCCATCAGTACAAGGTACACCATCTTACATCCTGGCGGGACGTAACACTCCGCCGTGCTGCCGCCGCAACATGCGCCGCGCCGCAGCACATGTCTTGCGAGGCTTGCAGCAAGCTGGAGCCCGTTGTTGGCTGGAAACTACATCACTTCTAGGGGCTGTTGTGCGGTAAATTTTGAAATGCACTTTTATATTTATTTTGCAATCAACCCTTAACCAACATTGAGAACCAACATTTCAGTATTATTTGATTTGAATCCGTGTTTTTGCAAAGATAATGGTATACACCATTGTATATTTCTTCTTCTTTTAAAAGCTATGGCTCCATCGAAACAAACTATGGTATATGTATACATTACAGGGCGGATATTCTTCCATGGGCAGAATACATAGAAATAGGCATCCACGCATCTGATCTCTCCCGCGTATCGTGGCTGCAACGCGGCGGTGCTGACGCTGATGGCTTTGTTTGGGAGCGAGCGACCAAAGGCCATTACTACCGAGTAGCATATTCGGCTACCAACAGAGTCTATGTGCTTGTACTGCCTTTCACACCAAAGAATGGTACTATGTGGCCTGCAGATTGGGTTCTTAGTAATCAGAAACCCTTTCCTGAACGGCATTTGCATCCTTTGGCACAGGTTGGTACAAAAAAACTATTCAAAAGATTTGTTTCTTAGTTTTTGTCTTAAAATTAAGACCTTTGAAAGCCAATATTTGAATTAATCTTTGCTTTCAGATTCAGTTTGCGGGCCGCGACGCACCTGCACCGAACGACGCTCGCGCATTTTTAGACCTGAAACTTGGTGGCAACGCCGTTGAGCGATGCAATGCTATGGGACCTAAGCTTCTGTATCCGTAATATCTTCACCACTTAGGTTTCTAATTTCTAACCACACCAGATGCTACATAACATGCCTTGTATTGGGTTTCAGACACTTTAGTAAGGTACCTTATTCAATTGAAATGCTGAATTTTGTTGATGTTGATTGTCACATTTAGTCCTCCAGTATTATTACGGAATTTTGTTGAAATAATTTCTTCCATTGACAAAGAGTGTTAATGTAAAAAGCCCATCTTCCTAGAATTCAAATAACTCTATAGATAGAATAAAATTGTTGAGTGTATGGGCCCAACCTTTGAAAAGTGAACTAGCACATTTATTTTCACACAAGATGTGGTTATATACAATTACAATTAATTCAGTTGTTCATAGTGTATCTTTTACATTATGATTATGAAGCTGAACTGACTGTTGAAATTTCCTGTAGTGTTCATGAAAAAATTAACTTTGTTTATTTACTATCTGTAACACATTCTAGCTAATGAAATATCCATGCACTGTATAGGTTAACAAAAACGGAAAAGACAGGAATTGAAACTATTTTTCCGGATTTAAATCGCGTATATTTTTTCAAACAAAAACACTTTCTTCCTTTTGTTACGTACTTGTGTTATTTCACTAAAAAATACCTGTTCTCATTTGGACCATCTTTTGTAGAAGTGTCAATTATTTGTTCTTTTAAAAAATCAAACAAATTATAGTTCCGGACTCTTTTTCCAGTTCTTCATGGCGACGGTTCATTGGTTAGATTCGAAAAAATACTTTCATTTCCAATCGCTAAGAACTCGACATTTGTTCCATTTCTACTCTTTAGGGCGAGGCCATACAAGCGTAAATGTCAGCGCCACACTGACATTGTTTTCAAATCGAATGGATTTGCTTTTAGAGTAGCTCAACACGTACCGTAATTCAGCCGCATAATGGCCAGCGCAAACCGGCGATTGGCAGGGGAGAACATCGAAGAGGATCTTTCCCCGCCAGCGCACACTGATGAAGGACACGCCACCGGTCGCTCGGATTTGAATCCATTGTACCGGCGACTACGCAGTCGAAAAGTCCACTGCGCATACCGACGCTTCCAGCCGCAGTATCCTCTAGCGCAAAGAGAAATGTGCTGCGATGCCGAAGTCGGCCTCAGAGTTTTGATATTTATATTTTATAAAATTTATTTCTTCCAAAGATCAATGTTATGCGATTGATTTAAGCTCTATGGCAGAACAACACAACTGAACTTTGTAGTGCACTAAATTGTTATTCTAGTTATACCACAGAGGACGTCACCTTAACAACTCTACCTAATATGTTTCAAGCGTCGCAATCTATAAAGTATCAACTATCAACATAGCTGAAGAGATATTAAATGGTATTAATGGTTGAATCTCATTATATCAAATGGTTTTACAATATAAAAAGTCTTAGTATACAAATGTATCTCGACAATGATTCAAAGTGTCTTTACGTTAAGTTCTTGTTAAATTCGCCTTATAAAACGATAGAATATATTTTTATTGAAAACAAATGTATTTTTAGGTAGAATTGTATTGCTAATTCTAAGCAATAACGAAGCTTTTTCAATGCAAGAATTTAGTGAGTAGTTGTTTTTGTGTGTGATCTTTAATAATGCTTGTATTTTAAATATAAACTTTCAATCTCACACTAGTCTCAAAATTATCTGCCATTTAAAATGGCAATGTTTTGTTTTTAAAGTTTAATTCAAAGTTTGAAATTGTAATTTTAATTAGTACTGTTACATTTCGATCTATGGATGCATTTAAAAGTTAGCATTTTCTAGTGATTGATCTTTAACATGTAAAATATTTTTTTTAAGAGCTTTACTAGAATAATAAATGACACAATCATGTTAAAATAATAATGCGATAGTGTTTTATTTATCTAATAAAAATACATTCAGTCGTACAAATTAAATTATAGTAAAAAAGGACTTTATTGAAATTCCCTCAAAATTAGTCGTCCTCGAACTTCTCGTCTACTACGCCTGGCGTGAACGGCGGATCGCGAACTAAAGTTAACAGTTTGTCTAATTTCATTATCTGAAAATAAGTAAATAAAAACAGAAATCAGAATATCATTTTGACAATTGAGACAAGTGTCAAAGTGTGAAAGTCGACAAACACGACAACAAGAGACATAAGACACTTGTTTTGTTCATTGTATCGATTTTATTTTCAGTGTACAATGATACTCGTATTTTACTTTCATGAAATAGTTTTATTTGTATAATTTTTAGTTTAATACGAGGACGAAGAATAAAACGTACCTGTAGCGTTCTTTGATCTAATCCCTGCTGTTTCTTTGGCGCTTTGCACATAACTCTCAGGTTAGGTGATAACTTTAAAACATGACATGTTCCTCTGAAAATAACATTAATTTAACTTTTTAATATCCTTAAAAGGTACAAAAACAAATCGAAATCACTTATGCCCCCAGAGAGATTTGAACTCTCGACCCCTGGTTTACAAGACCAGTGCTCTAACCCCTGAGCTATGGAGGCTACACAAAACATCGTGAAATAACGGTATAGTTATGGGAGGGCCGTTGGATGGCATGCTGCACTGACGTCACCGTAATTGGGTGTGCCTCTAATTTTTAACTTGATTAACTCTGTAATAATAAACCCCTAATATGTATTTAGTGTTCATATCTAGCGATTACAACGATAACTCAAAATATTTGTGTGGGAAATTATGAAGCGGTCATATGAACAAAAATTTGTTTATTATAAGTACAAATAATAATTAAACTTAATAATTATAAATAAATAAATTAAACTTATAATAATTATAAATAATATTTGTGTGGGAAATTATGAAGCGGCCATATGAACAAAAATTTGTTTATTATAATTATAAGTACAAATAAAAATGAAACTTAATAATGATAAATAAATAAATTAAACTTATAATAATTATAAATAATTTATAATAATAAACGTAACAGTCGTTAGTGATGATAAAAACTAAAGTAACCTTAAAGGTACTTTGTTTGAATGAAGGGCTATCTCGCAATTCGTGTATTTAGCAAATATTAATCGGCGATCGGAACTTAATTCGTTAAATACCTTAACAAATAATCGTTTCATAGCGTTTTTCGCGATTTTCTAATTTTTCAATTGTGAAATAATACATAATAATGTTCAAATTACTTAGTATCGCCGCAAACGATGACAGGCAACTTGGGGTTAAAGTCCAGTCGAGTGAGTTTCTTTGTTTTCTTGGACACTACAGCTTGTATGCAGATTGGCCGGTATTTATTCACGTTCAAGTCGTATACGTAAACCTGAAAATAAGTGAGAAGTGAATTACAATTATCGGGTAACGTATTTTGTACCAAAGAACACGTGTAGAGCTTATGTAGAGTTGATTACTTTGATAAGCATTTATGCTCGTATATAATCGACAGGCGTTAATTGTGTCAAAGTCAAATATCGATGGATACTAAGTTTAAGGGCCAAACTAACAATTTTATCATGTGTACCTTTCCGTCAGCTGTGCATGCCGCAAATACAGTGCTTGAATATGGTGCCCATTTCACATCACCCACTGGTGAGCCCAGCTCGAACATGAATATAGGTTCGCTTTAACAATAAGAAACGTCAGATAATAATACACATTATTTTTCATTTACGCGCTTGTTTAAATAACAGGTTAAGTTAAAGCCTTAAAACCACTGAACGAGATAAAAATACTACATTTGTTTATCCATACAATGTAGTTCAATACTTCAAATAACTATGCACGGAAAAACGGAATTTCCAATTCGGATCAGGATGTGCCAAGGTTGACCTATTAAGAGATTATCTAAACATATTTTATAAATATCAAATATCTTAGGGAAAACTTGACTTGATTCGGGGACCATAAATTCACTATTTATAGAGACAAAAGAAAAATTCCCTTTGTTAATTCAGTCATGACTTACTCTCTACCATCTTCCCAGATCTTGATCCTCCAATCGCCGGAACAAGACGCGTATATACTACTATTGTAGTGGTTATAGCATATTCTGTACACGGGCATGTGATGACTTTTACTAGAGCTCACGTAATTCCGATTGTACTTCAAGGAACATGTATGGACCATTCCGTCTTCCGTTCCCACTAAGAAGATTTCGGGTTTTGCTGGATGAAAACAGAAACAACTGCCGCAACCTGGATACATAAAAGGTTAGAGAGCTTGTGTTTTGAAATCAGTACATTACAGTCGAAAAGAACAGAAAGAAACCTAAAAACATAAGACAAGGGAAAAATCCTTCTATGGCTTCTGATGTCAAGTGACGGGACAAGCAAGTCGTGCACCTGGTCGTAAGCGAGACACCTGAGCTTTATATAGCAAAGATATGAGGGGCACTGTCACTGCGGCTGTCACACTGGACATAAGTTGACTAGCAACCCTACGCTTCAAAACTGGAACACATAACCGTTTGGCGGCAGAAATACTACTTACTTTGTAAAAAGCTACCTGTATTATTATTATACAGATATCAGTGTCACGGTTAGTATGGCAAATGCGCCATTGTAAAACAACAAAAAGAACAATAGTGCTGATGGCTTTTTAGAAGACATGGGAGATGTACGAAGAATTAAATTGAGCAAATGTAGGTACAGTACTGTCAACAGAGGTAAGAGACCATACTAATTACGTACTATTGACGGTTATCATAGTTCCATCAGGACCAGGCACAGGCGTGACTTCCGATTGCAGTGTAATAATGGTGGTGGCTTGCAGCTCTCCTGGCATCACGGCCCATTGTACTACTCTACCGTCACCGGAGATCGAGTAAAACGACGCTTCTCCATCGATGAGACGGGGTCCCCAACGAACCTGAATGTAATTATTTTATTAATTTATTTAGGTGGGTCCTGTTTGAGTTTTGATTTAATTTGTTTTAATTTTTGTTCTATTATTTAAGAAATAGAGCAAATGTTGCTTTATCTATCATAAAGGTAATAAAGGTACACGTAAACATTTTCATATGGTACATTAAGAATAAACATAAGTATAATTTTATTTTTAGCTACCAGGAATTCGAATCAGATGAAAATATTTAGAAAGAAATGGTAAAAAACGTCAAAATATTTTATAACCATATGTTTATACCCTCTGAGAAAGACAGACAAAAGGTAGCTTATTTTATACCTTGTTTCGAAACTCGCTACCAGGTTTACCGGTTTTTATGCTGACTTTTTTATGTCAGTATCACAAAAGTGGTCAGTTGAGAATGTTTCATCAATGCCTACAATAAATATGGTAGCGGAAATTTCGCGCCAATGGATGCAAAATGTACGTAATTTGATTTTTTTTAAATCGAGACTTCGCGTAAGAATATATTTTTCAATCACCTCGTCGTTTTGGACGTGTTGCAATGTTCCTTCAAGACCGCTGACGTTAATGTGTGAAAATCGTGAAAGTTTAAATCAATGTAAAATAAATATGACACAAATACAGATTACAAACAAACAAATGTACGAGTACGTAGGGGTAGAAAATACAACATACTAGACAGATTTTCGTAGACAGAGTAGGTATTGCCGGTATACTGTTCTTGGAATTTGTGTTTGGAATGGTGTGTCAGTATTTTTAACGGAAGAGACTGGTTTCTAATGGTGTATTCCCACGGCCCGCGATGTCAAATGCGCCGATTTGTATAGGTTTAAAGTTACCGACCAGCGGCGGATTCGAACAGGCCGCCACGGGCGAGCATAGTACGAGCGCACTCGGGCAGCTCCTTTTCCACGGCGCGTTTCCAAAAAAACGTGCGGCGCGGACCATGTACCTGGCCACGGGCTGTGGGAGGCTTCTTAAGACGCCCGTAATAACATTACTGCTTGGCGGCAGAAATAGGAAAGGTTACTTACAGGCAGAACTTCCCTGGACAAACTCTTTCACAAGGAGCTCTACTGCTACTAAAGTAATAATAATAGGTGTGTTTATTTCTCCACAAAAACACGTTCAGAAGGTTCTCAGTAATTTAAGAAATAGTAACAGCTTTTCGTAGGAGCTGGTGCTTGTTAAAGGTTTAACATCTGTACTACAAGTCACCAGGCCCTCACCCTTGGGTATAATACATATTACGAGTATATTATGGCATTACTAAGAAAATGTTAAACATTGTAGAAGAGAAACAAAATATGAAAAATATAAAATTAAAGATTTTTTTACACTTAACGAATTAATTATAAATTGTAAAAACTTTTAGACTGAAAAAAAAAAAAAAAATTAAAATGTGTGTGTGTGTGAGTGTGTGTGTGTGTGTGAGCGTGCGCGTGCGCATGTATGTGCACGTGTAAATATATGGTAAGCCTACAGATCAGTAAAGCCTTGAGTCACACGATTGGATGAAGCATAGTTTCAGTATCATAATTTAAATTTTGTAACCAGTTTGAAAACTTCTTTTTACATTCAAATTTATTTAAACCAAAGATGTTAAGTTCGCGATGCAATCTATTACCTATATAGATAACATCCCAGGAAGCAGAAGAATCCATGACTGAATGCAATCCTGAAACGGTCGTAAGAGGCCACTAAGCAATGTCGTCTATTAGTGGCAGTGTTGGAAACCGGTAGGGTTTGAAGCAGGCAACCTTTAGAACAACTCTTTGTGCTCTCTCTACAAGAAGAAAATGACTCTATACAGCCCCACCCCAAGTTGAAATACAGAAGATTAGTAGGCTTTGTCCCAGAGCACGGTACACCATTTTCATAATATTAGGGTCTGCTACATGACGAAGATATTTAAAAATATAAATTAGCTTAGGGATGCTTGCTGATAACAAGTATATGTATTGTCTAAAATTGAGGTTAGAGTCAAGTAGTAACCCAAGATATTTTATGCTGTTTGTAGTTTTCAAAAAGACAGCCTCAGATTCCGGAACTTGATTGGAGATGACATCAATTTTGAGTAAGTTTTGTGGTAGAGTATGGGTACGAATCGGGAAAGGTACGATTTTAAGTGGGAGCAAATTGGTGCCACTCCTTAACTACACTAAAGCCAGTCTAGGCAGATAGATATGTTTCATCCTAATTCACACCGGTGAAAATCAGTGCAATACCGTCGGCGTATGAGAAAAATGTACAGTTTTGAAGCCGTAGATTGCAGAGTCCGGCAATATACACCAGGTAGAGAGTGGGACCCAAAATACTTCCTTGAGGGACCCCGAAACTGATAGGTTGGGAATCGCTAGCGTGAGCACCAACTTTAACACACTGAAATCTCCCCGAGAGATAGCTTTTAACGATTAGCTAGATCCAAAAATATGCCAAGGCACCGATACTGTTTATCCAAGCTGACAACCACATGATTAACCAAGTGATAGACTGCGTCAGAAGTGGATTTATAGTTTCGAAACCCGTACTGGTTATCTAATAAAAGGTTGCCAGTTTCCAGATAATTAACTAACCTGTTGTTAAGAATGCGCTCAAGGATTTTTGATAAGGCTGGTAGGACTGAGAGGGACCCAAACTTGTTGAGACGGTTTCTTCGGCTTTGTAAATTGGATGTACATACAACAGCTCGTCTAAATCGATCAGGAAAGATTCCTGTAGAAATGATTAAATTACAAATGAAAGTGAGCGGCGACATAATAAGGTTGTTCAGTTAGGTAAGGATTAGGATGGGAACACGAGACTTGCAGCCTTTTCTAAGCAGGCATTGCAAAAAGTTTCGGTACCTCTTATACGAGACCTTAACAATTTCGTAATTAGGATATTTTTTAAGTTTCCTGTGTAAATTGTCTCTGTTGAGCATGCATTTTATTAAATCCGCGGTAATCCATGGCTTCAATGAGATATATAATGGGATGTAGTGCATTGTTTATAGCTTTTCTTATAGACGAATACGATCAGTCAGATATTGAGTAGCAATATTTACATCAGTCCTGGAATACATATTGCCAAAAATTATTTGATTCACGGCTTCATCAAGTCCCACAAAGTCGATTTGGAAATTTTGCGGCATGGAATTAGACTGCCTGTCTCTAAAGACACTAGGACAGCGTAATGATCAGTAACCGTTGCATCCAGGACTGGAGTTGTGGCCGCAAAAGAGGTTCAGAACAGTATGATCAATACACGTTCCGCTATCCTCGGACACAGATGGCTCTTCGTAACATTGCTATAGGCATTATTAACATTTACCACCAGGTCATCATTTTGGTTATATTATATATTATAATTTTGACGATTTGTATACGTTATAGCCAACTAGTGTAGAAACATTTGGGTTAACAGATGGCTAGCGCTCAGAGAGAATTATTAGATCACAATGCACTGCTACTCTCTGAAGTAATGTTTGCAGGCTCGACATGTTAGCATTTATTCTATGGATATTCTGAGAGATAAAATTGAGCATTTTAGAGCTCGGAGTAATTAGTTTTATGCAATCTTCAGGTATACAGAAATAGGATTCAAAGATTGAGGTATTATCGATATCAGTCAAAAGGTTATTTGTATTAATCATTCTTTAATAAGAGGTATGAGATACTCAATAGAGTGTACTTATATTTAAAGCATACGTTATGATTCAAAATGGAGAGGGAAGTTATCAAAAAGAAGTAATTTTTGTAGAATTTTATGCAGGGTTTTACTATTATAGTATTGTAATGGGTATAACGACAAAAGCGTGATGAGTGTGAGTATATACGTTCTTGATGTGTATTATGTGTAGGAGTGTAAAGAAGTGTAGGTGTGTGTGTGTAGAGGAGGCGTAACATTTACATATATGTGCAAAAGGAACATTAGAGGGTGCCCTAGAAGTAATAAAACTACTACCGAGATCAAATATCTGGCAAGTATGTCAAAAAAAAGGTATGCCACATTGTGTACGTTCAACTTATTAAGTCCGCGTCCTAGAGACACACGAAGTTCCTAACGGTTTTGGATTTTTTTTTTGATAAATTTAAAAATGGTGAATGAAAATACAGCTTATTGTTAGAGACACGACGCTACAGTGCCAAAATCGTCAGGGACACCGTGTGTCTCAAGAACGTATGACGGGTAAGTCGTTCTTACCGTATATGATTTGAATTCGTCATTTTCATTTTGTACGTTCTAAGTTTTCATTCTATAAGTAATACTTATCTTTGTCACGTGCCGAAAGAACCGAAAGATTATTTAGAACTCAATTAGAACTACAATCACTAACCTCCCATACAATATTGCTATGTTTATCCCTTACGGAGTCAGATTTGTATTGGTAACTTGATTCCAAACTCAATTGAGCGTTGTATACACATACATTGCCGTCGTAAAGTCCTGAAAATTAGGTAAAAATAAGTTCTGGTACGTTTTAATAGTGACAATATTTTTGAAAGTCGTGTCATGACAATCTGCGGACTTCCGAACGCACCCGAATACGAATTTCCTTGTTTAGTAATGATACAATTTTGTTTTGACTTCTTTTTTCATTTCATTTTATTATAAGATTTACTCCATAACAATAGAACAAGCAAGTCAACTAAAATGTAAGTAAATAAAGTGTCTTATGTATAATTAAAAATGAATCTTATCAATTATTAACTTTTTAAATTCTCATGCTTTTTTTTCATCTGATATAGCTGTGTCATCATATCATAGCTTATAACTAAAATAGAGAGCAGTAGTATCGCTGTTAATACTTCCAAGTCGATAGTGGGCGTCCGGTCTGAACCAATCGCACGGGGCGACTGCAGCCGAAACACGAAGATTGTCAAGAGAATAATATATCTATAGAGATAATAAGATAACAATAATAATATGATAATTATCTCTACAAAGATATTATTCTAAAGTCCTCAACAGTTTGTGGAATTAGGTAGGTACATCTATTTGTCAAGTTTTATTATAACCGGTTAAGAGAAAGTGGGGAAATCCAATAAAGCGGATTCATCTCATTCTCATAAGGATTAATTTGCCACACTTAGAGGTGGAATATTCTATTCATATTTGAATGGGACCATTACTGAGGTACCCTCTTTCCAACAAAAAAGAATCATCGAAATTGGTTCATTAATGACGGAGTAATCACGAAAAAATACAGTCGAATTGAGAACCTTCTCCGTTTTTTGCAGTAAGTAAAAAGAAATTGTCTTCATAAACTATCAAAATTAAAATTCTTGGCAATTGCTGATAATAATAAAACAGTGGCACACAAACTGACTTCTAACAATAGTGATTGTGTCATGTCATAATTTAATTCTCTAAATTTTGACTCTTTTGATGTAGCGAGGTAAGTATCAGATACTCAAATATCTTACCAACACAAACCATATACGGTGTCTCCTTATAAACATCAAGGGCAATGATAGGCGAGTCTGTCATGACCGCGTATTCTGGAAATGCTGGGTTCTTAATACTGTACAGACATAGACAACCGTCCTTCAATTGGTTTGTGAAATCCACTGTGAAATAAAAATAAAAGATAAGATGTAGATTCCCTCAACCTGTACTGTGTACATAACTAGAAATAGAGACGTAATAAGGGCCTCCCATCCCTGGCAACTCATCAGGCAAAAGTGTCTTATATTGCTTTTAAATATCAGCTCTCGTTTGCGCTGAAACCACAAATTAAAAAGCTGAACTAGTACAGCGGCAACAACTGACCTGTGTGTACGTCTCCTTAAATTCCAAAAATATTCTGTATTTATTGTAATAAAGGTAATATCTCTAACAATGGGAGGCTGTTCCATTCGGAAGTGTGGGAAAACCAAACATCTAATCACGAAACAAACGGAATCACATTTCATCAGTAATTAAATATGTAATTTTTCAATTTGCGTCCATTAAAGCAAAGCTCAAGTTAATCTGGTCGATTTGATGTGAAAAGATTGGCAACACCTTTAATTGTTTCGAATTCGGGCTGGCCAATCGGAGCGCAGTTGACACCATAACGATTTGGCAGAATACTTTTCAAACATGACATTTGATGACAATTGACATTTCGTCTCTATTTCTGTTCTTGAACTAGTGAATACCCTGTAGATATTGTGAGTATCAGAGCAACGGAACTCACTACATGGGCTAACCCAGACTTCATGTCCCAGATCGGTCCTACCGAGTCCGGAACCTCACCCAGAGCCCACAATGTATATATTGCTTCTGCAAAGATAAAGCTTGCACAGTTGATGTCGTAGACATCGCTAAATGTTTTTCAGCTTTTCGTCACAATTACAGTCCTGACAAGCACTCTGTGTTCAGCTATACGCTACTACAAATTATACAGTTACAAAATAAATACTAACAGGAGCCATAGGCAACAGCGAACAGATCTTGATAAAATGAACTCCACTGTACTTCACAGACAGCGTGACTGCGGGTTGGCTCGAATTGGAACTTCCATAAAGGAAGTAGTGAACCCATGCCTTCGCGGAACTCGTCTGATGGATCGTCCCAATACCGGTAATCCATTGCTGTGTAAGGAATATACATCATACGTCATTAACCCAGCAAGTACCAAGAAGAAAACGGAAAATATTTTATACAACACAACAAGCAATAACTTGGTTTTAAAAAGGCGTTTTTTCGTTTCTAATGAGTACCAGAGCAACGAAATACGAGACACTACCCAGAATACTGAACTACACCTGGGGGTCTATTCTCCATCTAAACCATAAACGTCAAATAAGTAATAGGTACTCTACCAAATTAAAAGACAACGCCAAGTATAAAGCTTTATTCGCATCATGCTTATTTTAATTTGATCGAGTATTACTTATTTGACAGTAATTGTTTCGAACGGATGTTGGACTTTTCGTCTTAAGCTCACAGTGGTTACCACTTAACCACCAAAGCGTTACTCGAAACAAAGCTTCTGATCTGATAAGAAGTAAGTAAAATTGTTATACCTATATCATCATAAATGTTCTGGTTAACGAGCCTCTCCAAAATCGCCCAGGCTTCCCGGATGCGTTGCGTCAACGCCTCATCATGAATTTGCTGCTCAGTCTTAATTGCCTTCGTTGTCTTCTTGCGCATCTATAATATTATAACTTGCTATTAAAAGTACGATTCTCTAGTCCTTAGCTGGAATTTAATGAAGAGTATAAGGTACTGCATAAACTCATCGGGTTCAAATCTGAACGAATTAATATTTAGGTAAGACCTGACCCTTCCGAGAACCGTTATTAATAATACAAGTTATAGTGATTGTTCGTCTTTCGTATCTTACCCTCTTTGGTTTTTCATCTTCCTTTTCTTTCATTTTCCTTGTATAATCTTCTTGGTAGTAGTCGAAAATTATGCTTTGCAGTGCTGTCGCACCATATGTTCCTCTAGGCGGCGGCAAGGTTTGGGTGTCCACTGACTATAGACCGAATATGAAATGTTTTTGCATATATGTAATCTTGATGGGGTTTACCTAGTAGGTAAGTAAGTAACTGCTGACATTAAACACAATTGTATATTTTTGTACTTCTTTGGTAAAAAGAAGAAGAAACTCACTTTCGGGGATACTGACGCATGATGTAACTGATTGATCTCACATTTAGGAAATGAATGCAGTGTTAAAATGTTGTAGTTATTATTGTTGGTAGAGGTTACTAACTCGTCTAGGATTGTTGTAGGTGAGAGCCGCTCTCTCGCAGAAGTTGAACTGGTTAGCAAGTTTCTTGACACGCGGCTTTATCTCGAGCAGTTCGTCAGCCAATTCAGGCATTTCCGCTTCTAGAGTAAACATAATTAAATGATTGGTATGTCAAAATTCCAAATAACTAAGATATTTATCAGAAATAAAGAAACAATCTTTATTATTATACACAATATTTGGAAATCATTATTGAAGTCGTAATTAAGTTTCGACTATGTTTGTTAACTCGGGAAACACATGAGGTGGCAGGCACACAATTATTAGATATGTACAAAAAACATTTTGTGTGGTGGCTGTAGACTTGGCTCAGACTCCGCTACTGGCATTCAGTAGACTACTGTTTAGTTTATAATTTAGTACTAACTTTCCTCGGGTTCGGCTTCCTCTCCTACGGCGCCTCCTTCCTCGCCTTCTTCTCCTTCTGGTTTTGCAGCAGCTCCTTCTTCGGCAGGGGGAGCCTGCACCTCTTCTTCGGCGACCTCTGTCAATTATAGTAACAGAAATTTGTCATCATCTAGGTAGGCATGTGTTTTCTTTCAGTACATTGGGATTTAGTATGATAGCTTTCAAATTTTTCTTTTGTTTATTGCGTGTTTATACGTATGCGGTAGTTATATCGTATTGTTGGGTTACTTTCCTAGGTGCTAATAGTCGCAGTTTTCCTATCGAAATTTATTTCTATCGGGCGGTGGAACGGATTTAGGTACATAATGCATTGTTCCCTTTCGTTGGAACTTTTTGATGGACAGCTTTGGTTTGGATTTTGTTTTTTTCATGAGCCCAAGTGACGGAACGATCAAGTCGCCAACCTGGTGTATAAAAAAATACTGTTATGGACAGGCGTTCATAACAGTATTTTTTTATAATATGAAGTGACGGGACGAACAAGTCTTGCGCCTGATGGTAGGCTACAAGCCTGTCCATAACGGTTGCAGTTCCACTCAGTGCTTTAAATAATAAAGATCTGAGGGGCACTGCCACTGCGCCCGTCACCCTGAGACGATAAAAGACATAAGTTGTCAAGTCCCATGTGCTTGTGATTTCAGCAAAATGTGATACATTTGAAGCGGATCGACGGAATTTATATACTTTTTTTAATTTCACTAGTCGCACAATGGGAAATATGTCTTTCCAATTTAATGCTGTATAATTCATATGACTATTTCAGAACTATATAACCTTCGGGTTTAGCTTCTTCGACAGGTGCTACCGGCTCTGGCTCTGGTTCTTCTTCTTCTTCTTCATCAGTAGCGGCTTTTTTCACTTTTGCTCGCTTCGGACCAGCATCATCGAAACTTACCATACCTGAGGATAGTTTTCATCGTAAAATAGATGTATTTGAAGATTCTTATCTTCTCGTAAGCGAAATGCATCGCACTACGGATACTTTTGCAACGGTGATTTTGCGACATTGCATTCAAATTTACTCATATTAATATACTCATATATATATTATACTTTATTTATTGCGACTTATGTTTGTAACTAAATCTCATTGTCCAAAATAGAACCGATATTGCATATTAAGTCATACAGTAAATGATGTGTGTATCATACTTACCGTAACCAGCAGCAATTTGTGCTTTAGCTTCATCAGAGTCTTTTCTGATGGCTGTGCCCTGGAACACCCATAGAGGATACGCCTTCCCGAAAGATGGTTTCGGTTTTACCACGAATTCTCCCTTGCCATAGTGGTAGGCTACTTGATCAGCCACCCACTGCTTGTTATGGCTTGATAGAATACGGCCCACTTCTTCTTCTAAGTCCTTTAAGATTGAGAAAATAAAATGTATCGTCACGGTATATCCTCCTCCACTCCTCACTAAATCAGGGAAACAGTAATTTTCTGGAGTTCCCGTATTTTTTTTATATGCTACTAAGTGATGGGACGATCAAGTAATGCGCCTGATGGTAATGCATGGTGATGCATTGTAAGCATTACTGCGTTCCAGTGTTGAAGGGTAAGTGTGCTGGTGAAATTACAGGTACATGGGACTTTTCAACTTGTCTCAGGGTGATGGGCGCAAAGGCAGTGCACCGCAGATCTTTGCGAATTAAAGCTATGAGTGGCACTGCAACTGTTATGGGCAGGCGTGTCGCTTACGCATCACTTGTTCGTCTCATCCCTAAGTATCATAAAAAAAGAGTCCGCGGTTTGGTTCGTGGAAACTAGCCAGGTGAAAAGAGAGAGAGAGAGACAGACAGAGAGAGATACAGATAGATTCTTACTGCTTCAGGTACCTCCTCCTGATCCTCTGGTTTGATGAGCTGTCGAGGTTTCAGCCAGTCTAAGTCGTCTACTTTCTCGGTAGATTTTTGTGTAGGATCTTTCTGTTGAGAAAATCATAGCCGATTTACTTACAATTGTGTGTGTAAGGTGCTTGTATATTAGAAATAGAATAATAGAAGAAATTTGTAGAATAAAAGATGGGCAGATTTTATGGTAATTTTTGGCAACTAAATAATACACGTTAAATAATATTCATTATCTGTATAACGTACACTTTTATAATGACAATGAAAACGCAAATATTTGAAAGAAAAAAAATCAAGTTATTAGGTTTTCGCGATTGTTATACATAGGAAATGAAACTATTTTTCCGGATTTAAATCGCGTATATTTGTTTTTTCAAACAAACTAACGTTTTGGGTTAACTCTCAGTCAACCGTGACCATGGGACCTGTAAAGGGCCCGTAACGTTGATTTGCTTGAAAAAACAAATATACGCGATGTGAATCCGGAAAATCCGGAATAAAAATTTCAATATAAAAATTATTAATCATAATCTTACTGAATCTACACACTGTAAAGTCTTATTCAGACGTGCAGTCTGTTCATCTATTATTAATGCACGTTTCACTATTGTCTTTAACATTTTTGTGCACACCAAACTCTACGAAACAGCCAAGGAAGTTCGTAGCAAGTAAAACACTGGTTATCTAAATACTTGAGCTTGCTACTAAATATACAGGGCATTAGCATATCTCAAGCTAAAAGTCTTTATTGCGAATCGTCATGTAATTCAACTATAAATAATTTCTGCTATAGAAAACGGAAAAAGCGTAAATAAATGATTCCGTCCTAAAATAAAAGCTTTGCGTGTCTTAAGCATGGTAAATTAATGCTCGTAGCGTTTTTAATTTGAAATCGGGTTTTTACTCACGAGCAGTGATATCAAATCAATACTTACATCACAATCACTATCATCGGATGCCATTTGGTATTTTAGTTAAAAGCAAGTTTTGATTTTGCAAGAGACGTCCAGCAGGGTTGCATAAAGCAAGACAACTAACGCTCGATTAGCATTTACTTCCGTACTATTAACTATACTTGATTATGACTGCACGACAGTAATTTCAACATAGTGTCAAAAATGTTATTACTTTAATTTTATTTACGTAATACTTGAAAAATCGATCGAAGTTTCGCTACACTAATCAGAAAGTTTATTGTTTCAAAGCATTTTGATTTTACATTTTATAATGTATACATGTACAGATAAGTCACAAATTTCTGAATTTCTTTCCAGTCGGGTAAATTCGCAGTTATAAACCATTTTTAGTTGTTGTGACTTTTTGATAATTCAAATCATGTGAACTCCAGAACATATAATAAACATTTTTTAGGTTTTTATAAAAATACTGCTAGGGGCGTGTTACGAAATTCTAATTAGTCCCCGTGTCTGGTGTAAGCCAGCACAGACTTTGTGCCATCGTGCGACAAATACATTAAAAACCTGCTTACCAGAGACGTTTCAGGGGCGCATATTTGCTACTATGTTGAACAGTCTATGGTAAATAGCTACGCAAAAACGTATCCAAGTAATGATTTCACTAAACATTTGACGAATACAAATTCAGGTAAGTTACAATCTATAATCGTAATAATTGTTATTAAAAAACGTGAATTAATAATTCCACGTCTACGTGTATCGATTTGTACATGTTCATATCTGTAGTAGAAAGCGACCATTGGGTAAATTTTTTGGCTGTTGAATTTCAATAGTCGTACCTTTTCAGGACTTGTGACCAATGCATGTCTGTGCTATATAAAATGAGACGTGTACAAAATATGACTCAGTCATGAAATGTTTTACACGGAAAGTACCCTCATAAGGATGTGACCTTGTTCGCCATGAGGATATTTCACAGTGGCGATATCTCTACGTCCCGGGTACACGGTTGAGTTTCATGCGAGTAAATTTGCAAGCCTTGGCGTATGTTTTTTTAATGTAAAATAGATGACCGACGCTTGGGTATACCTTTACCCGATGTTAAGCGACAATATAATCTACGCATTTGTCTAGTGTGCTTAACTATGTGTAATGTAAGAAAAACAGTAGCCCATTCTACGCGTTACTGTTTTCCCGGAGGCGGGCCGTAATATCCCTCCTAAAGGCGGCGCTGTTTTCTACAGTAATCAGTATTCACCAGTAAATTAGCATTAGGACTTCAGTTAGTGGTGCACCGCAATGAGAATCGCTCGTGTTAAATATAATATTCAGTGTGGTCCATAGACGTAATGCAAGCAATAATAATCCGCCAATGTACGGCGAATCGGTAAGTTTGCAGAATACATTTAGTACCTACAATTTGCATTTATCTAGTTAGTTTTTTAAATGTGAAAAAAAGAAATTTTGTAGCTCAATTTAGTGAGTAGTTAGTATTATCTTTTTATATTTATAAAAACATTTTTTTCACTTAGTCCCATTGAAAGCCTAATTTCGTGTCTTGTGTAATATCGACATAAATATGTATACAAAAAAATCTTTGTGAAATAAACTAAAGTCGTAGGTTATTTATTATTCAGCCTAGATATGTCTATGATTACTTTTTTATTACATTTTTTTTACAGAACAGTAACAATTTTTTTATAAATAGTATTATTTTTATTTTATAAAAAAAAACGATGATGTTTTTACTACCATGATATCATATACTTTTTGTGAAAATAATCCATTAGTTCGTGTTGTTTGATTTTTGTATCAATAATAACACCAAACTAGTGGAGTATTTTAATATAACATTTGAATCCTAACGTTCTGGTATACGTTTGTAAACTATTGCGAAAAAGTAAATGATTTCGAAAAGTAGTAGGTATGTATATTTCATTTGTCGTCATTTCAAAACTTGTTGTTTGTACGAGCTGTTTTCACCTTTGAGCTTGCTACGTCTACATTGACGATAAAATTGACTATTGAGATGTAGTGTACGTAGTAGGTACTATACAGTCGAGTGAATTTTAGTATCACGTGTTGTTTGTGACATCGTAAACGGATCTCTTTATTGGACACACAATAGAGCCCGTAGTAATACCCGACGCTAGAATTGCGGAGTCAGTATCTGAATAGTATTATAACACAATTGAGGTTATCAGCGCAAAAGTGGCGTAACCCATTTTTTTCTACAATATTCCTTTCAATGATACTAAATTACATAATTATTTTATATAAATATAAAGAAATAAACATTAGACAACATCACATACGTTGCTCTGATCCCAAAGTAAGTAGCTAAAGCACTTGTGTTGTGGAAATCGGAAACAACGACGGTACACAAATACCGAGAGCCGAGACAATATAGAAAAGTTAGTTTTCTACACTGACTTGGCCGGGGATCGAATTCGGGACCTCAGAGATGTTGACACCTTGAAAACCGGTGTGCAAGCCACTCTACCACGGAGGTAGTTCGTTCGGAGGTAAATCGTTATATTTGGACTATTTTCGTGTACAAAAATAATTAATTATTATTTTTTGTCTTATTTGTTATTAATAATATAATACAATTATTATTTTGAGTTTTTAGGAGAAATGAAAAGATTTTTTGGTGACCGTGACGGTACTATCTAAACGGAGACTGACGGCTACTTTACTCATATTTAGATAAAAATAATATATTATACAATTTTTTTTAATATCAAGTGACGGGACGAACAAGTCGTGTGTCTGATGGTAAGCTACACGCCTGTCCATAACAGTTGTAGCCGCCGTCGCCGCCGCCGATCAGAGCTTAAATCGCAAAAATCTGAGGGGCACTGCTACTGCGCCTATCACCCTGAGACATAAGTTGACAAGTCCCATGTGCCTGTAATTTCACCAGCACCCCTTACCCTTCAAAACAGTAACGCTGACATTACTGCTTGGCGGCAGAAATAGATAAGGTGGCAGTACTAACCTGGATGAACTCTTTCACAAGGAGCTCTACTGTTACTAAAATATGAAATATATATTGAAATAGATAAATAAAATCCTGGTCACAAATGACACTGTAAAACTATCATAACTAATATTGAATAAATACCACTAATCAGAAATTAAATAGTATATTTTCCGCATATAACTTTAAACAAAATAGAAAGAAAAATATATCAAAAATGCATTGACTTACAAATCCAAAATGTGAAACATGTTTACATTATCATAAAAATAGGCGTATATGGTATACCTTATTATTCATTCACGTAAGCCATATTACCTAGAAACAACTGTTTAAAAGCAAAAATAAGCAATAAAATACATGATATTTTGCGTTTATGTCCCCCCTGTATAGCGTGATAAACGATAACCGATATCTGCCAATCGATCGTCAATAACTTTTCAATATCGGTGTAATAAAAACTACGATCGTCCCAATTGATGTTTATGTACTCACGAGTATGTTATATTAACCAATTATTATTATACAGTTATACAGGCTGGAAATTTGAGATGGGTCCGCAAGGGCTTAACTGACACGGAACACGGTCCTAGAAGACTGTTTATGAATTTTAAGAAATTTGATTAGCAGTCACAGATTTTGAAAAAATCGTACAGTAAGCAAGATAAAAAGTATTTTTTTTTTTTTACGATTTTTTTAAAATAATATGTGGGTTATGCGGGACTAACAAGTCGTAAGGTAAACTACACGCCTGTCCATAACAGTTGCAGTGCCACTCAGAGTTTTAATTTGCAAAGATCTGAGGCGCACTGCGTCCGTCACCCTGTTGACAAGTTGACAAGTCCCATGTGCCTGTAATTTCTGAAACTGTTTGAAACTGTTAAATTGCGTTGTCATACATTATAAGTTCCAGCCCCGACCGAAACTCAAGTCTGAAGGTCGTCCATGGTGGGAAAACGTTCGTCACTATGGATTTCGTGCTTTGTGAGTAGGGCCCGTGTTTCTGGTAAGGATCAAAAGTCTTTATGAGACCAACTGAGATAAGAATACTAGAAGTGTCAGAAATTGCAAAAAAATCTTTGCAATACATTTCGAATAAAAGAAAAAAGGGATATTTTAATAAATATTCAGTCGTGTAAGGCCTTTGTTGACCCGTCTCGAATTTCCACCTATAT